TTGCATTTCTGTCGACTGTAACAAAAATTCCACTGAGTATTTCATATATTGATCTAGACATGCAGGCAATTTGAAAATATGTCAATTTGATACAAAATTAGCAAAAAATTATAAAAAATTATATAAAAATATATAAAAATGTGCAAAATATGCAAAATGTAGCTGCAAACCAATTTTGGCGGGAAAAATTATTCATTCAACCTGCTTTACCTTCACAAAAGAAAAGTTTTCAGAAATTTGACATGTCAGAGAAATTCTCAAAAATTCTTGGCAGTGAAAATTCCACAGGTTTTCTTTTGTTGCAGTGAGTTTCATGAATTTTAGTTGTGATGTAATCAAATTGCATATCATGAAAATATGTGACCTAAAAATGTAACGGTTATAGTAAAGAACATTTTTACTGGACTTTGGTCAAACTACGCGTCGAAGGTCAAACTGTCAAAGGTCAAACAGTCAAATTCAGAAATTTATCTTGCAATTGATTTTTATTTTAAAATAAACATATATTATTGAAATAAGTAGGATCACGTATAGATTATTGAAATCTAATTATGAAAAATAATTAAAATTATGGTTTGTAGTTTTAGTTGAATACTGAACCAAAAGCAATGATAATATTTTATGTTCAAACGTAGTGATAGAATAAAAAAACTTAAAAATGTTTTAATATAACATGAGATCTTAAAAGCATTAATTACTTCATTATTGGTCTGAAATTGACTTGTAATGTCAGATTTTTTTATTGTAGCATGGATGACTATGGTTTAGTTTGGTACACTACTCCATTTTTATTTTTCAGCGTTCGGTGAAAAATATAATTGTAGTACTGTAAAATCTGTATTAGAAGTCGCTGATAATATTGAAAAGGTATAATGCAACAGAGGGGATGTGGTCTCTATTAGAGTATGTACACATATGCAAAACTATGAATTTTTGGTTCTCAATTGTTCAAAAAGAATAGGTGCGACTTCTATTAGGGATGCTGCTTCTAATACAGATTTTACGGTATCATTGACAACAGTGAGAGATGTGCATAAAATTTGTGTGGATGATGCATAACAAATGCTCAGAACAAGGGAGAATACATCACAATTATT